CAATCACTTCATATCCATATGAAAGCTAGATAATGATTAAAGAAGACTCAAGAATTGATGTATTTGAATTATGGTATTGGCCAAATATTGAATAAACCCTGGACATCTTAAAAAGGAATATATCTGTCTTGGAAGAAGTGCAGCCAGAATGCTCTTTAAAAGCAAGGATGGCAAGTCTCATCTTAAGTACTTTGGACATGTTATCTGGAGGGACCAGTCCCTGGAGAAGGGCATCATGCTTGGTTGTAGTTGTTTTTGCCAAGTGCTGTTGAGTCAGTTCCAACTCATAGCAACCCTGTATACGGTTTCAGAGGAGCGGCTGGTGAGCTTGAACCTCCAACCTTGCGGTTTAAACCAACCTTGTAGTCCAGCACATTAGCCCGCAGCACCACACCAGGACTCCATCATGCTTGGTAGATGGTCAGTAAAAGAAGAGGATGACCCTCAATGTGATGGACAGACTCAGTGGATACAATAATGGGCTCAAGCATAGCAATGATTATGAGGATGGCACACAACCGGGCACTGTTTTCTTATGTATAATGGGTTGCTATGAGTTGCAATTCATAGAACTATATTTAAAAATATTTGTGACTTACTTGTCCAATGTCTAGGAACCCTGGTGGTGCAGTAGTTAAACCACTCAGCTGCTAAATGAAAGGCTGATGGTTCAAACCTACCACCTGCTCTCTGTGAGAGAAAGATGCAGCAGTTTGTTTCTATTAAGACAGCAGCCTTGGAAACTCTATGGGGCAGTTCTACTCTGTCCTATAGGGTTGCTATGAGTTGGAATTGTACTAATGGTAGTGGGTGTCCAATGTCACAATTAGTACATGATAGGATTTACGCTGTGTTCACTTCTTTCCTCTATACTAAGTTTCCCAAACTTTAATGGGCATTCAAGTCACCTGGGAGTCCTGATGTGGCTGGCGCTTTGGGTTAACGCGCCAGACTGCAAAGCCATTTGAACGGCAAGGTTGGCAGTTCAAGCTCACCAGCTGCTCCTCTGAAACCCTATACAGGGTTGCTATGGGTCGGAACCAACTCGACGGCACTTAACAATTCCTCTGAGATCTTGTTAAAGAAGATTCTGACTTAGTAGATCTGGGATGGAAGCTGAAATTCTGTATTTGAACAAGCCTCCAAGTCATGCCAATGCTGTAGTCCAAAAACCAAGAGTAGCAAGGCAATACTAGTGTCAAGTATAAAATATACTTGATTTTCTTCCCATCTGTTTACTTTGTCACTCCTCTCATTTGATTTTGGGTATGGCCCAACATTTAACTGATCACGTCGTCATGAGTCCCTCCTCCACTAAATCTCTTCATCCTTTCCAACTCCCCAGTCCTAGAGACTTTTGGGCACAATCCCCCAACATTCTGATTCAGTAAGCCTACATAGTAGCTTTTGTTAAATTTTAAAAGTACCCCATAAATTAGAGCATATCTAAGCAATGAAATATTAAGTTGCTAAAAAAGAATGTAGGCAGTTCAAACACACCAGCTTCCTTGGAAACCTTATACAAGGTCACTATGGGTCGGAACCAACTTGATGGCACTTAACAAAAAAAAAATGTAGTGATTGATTTCCATATTATTAAATGATAATACATGCAGAGAATAATGTGCTATTTACAAGATTAAAAGGATGCGTACAGTTATACACACACAATGCTTGTAGGGATAACTAAGAAATTACAAACAGTAGTTGGTACTGTAGAGCGGAAAAGAAAGGAGTAGGGGCTATATACACTTTCATCATTTGAGTTTTTTCTTTAAGTGTAAACATTATTTTTTTAAAAGAGAAAAACAGAAAAGCTCCCTCAATGTACATCTAAGTTTGGGGACTAATGCCCTAATTAATTGCAACTATGTCTTTGTCTCTCTAATGTGTATCTAAACTAGTTGCAACCTTACAATCTGTGTTTTAATGCCCTTTTTTCATGAAATCCCAAGCCGTACACCCAGTCTGTTTCCACTGTTTTCTTTCAGAATCCCTATAAATCGCAGTGGATAAATGTTTTCAGGGGACACCTGAACACCCAAGCATAGGCTCATTTTACCCTTTTGAGTATGTATCCAAAAGTTCCCTCAGCCCGTATCAGTTGTGTTCCTCAGGGCCTTCAATTCTTTGCCAGAGTCTCTTCTGCCTGACGATCATCAATACAGCAAATATAATGGGTTTCCACCCAGTCCTGCCTCTGTTGTATGTAGGGGCTAATGAAGGTTGTGGAGTGAGGGTACGGATTTATCAAGTATTTTCACTCATAGGGTCAGTCTACTTCTTTAGGACATTTCAGTGGCTACAAAAAAAGTGCCAGAGAGACATTTTGTTATTTTGCATATGTTTTGACTATAATTATGACTAAGACTTCTTTGCAGCTGAGACTATGTGGCATTGCCTCCCTCCTCTACTTACTCCACCAGCGTTTTGTATTTTCCTTCTCGATTCTCTCCATTGTACTTCATTGCTTTGAAAATAAATATCCACTTGGCTCCAGGGGCCCTCCAGCAAAGTAGGACACATATATGTAATCTTAAATCCACGTTATGAGCCTGTAAATTCTGGTTAATCTCTCCCAGGAAATCCGATCCAACCCCAAAATGCCCAAATTTAGGGTTGCGGGAACCTCCCCTCCCTAGCAGGTCGCGGGAATTCGAACGTAGTGGAGAAAAACATCTCCCCAAGATTCCTAAGAGGTGGGGCCCTGGCTCAGAAATGGCAGCAGCATGGGGCGGAGCATCGCCGACTTTAAACTCATTTTGGTTGTTTTGATGAGATGCTACGCCCAGGCCAGAATCCCACTTTGCTCCTCAACCACCAAACCCAAACTCTGTCACTCACCCCGGAATTACACCCCATGTCGAGCCCCAGAATCGGCCTTGTCTCAGCACTCTCAGGAGGGAAGAGCTGTCGAAGCAGCTCCGGGGGCAAGAGGTGGAGCCGCTGTTCTGGAGGATGGAAGCGGGAATACTGAGGGAAATTTCCGAATGGAGCGGCCCCGGGTTCCAGAACTCTGGGTTTCCCCTCTGCCGTGGCCTCTTCTAAGTCCCCTGAGGTGGTCGGTTTCACCGATGCCGCCATGAGTTTCAGCTCCGCCTCTGGGTCCCCATGGAACCGGAAGTCAGGAACTTAGTTGCGGCGAGCGCACTTGCCTTGGTCAGTACGCGTGCGCTGAGTGACAAAGGACACGAAACCGAATGAAAGTAAAGCTTGGCGGTGGATAGTAAAGGCTGGCATTCACTGAGCTTTCCATGTGTGCAGGCATCTTGCTGAAGCACGATGCTTGCGTTATTTTATTGGATCTTCACCACATCCCGACTCAACGACCCTACTATGCACAACAGAACAAAATACTACCTGGTTCTGCGCTATCCTCAGGATTGTTATTACACTTGAGCCTGTTACTGCTGCCATTATGTCAATCCATCTCCTTGGGGGTCTTCCTCTTTTTCTAAGACTCTCCACTTTACCAAGCACGGTGTTCTTCTCCAGAGGCTGGTCCCTCCTGATAATAAGTCCTAAGTCTCACCGTCCTGACTTCCAAAGGAGCATTCTGGCTGCACTACTTCCAGAATTTGTTTATTCTGGCAGTACGTGGTACTTTTAATATTCTTCTCCAACACTATAACGCAAATGCATTAATTCTACTACCATCTTCCTTATTCATTGTCCAACTTTCACATGCATATGAGGCTATTGAAAATACCATGGCATGGGTCAGGCATACGTTGGTCCTCAGCTGGCATCTTTGCTCTTGAACACTTTAGAGAGATCTTGTGCAGCAGATTTACCTAATGCCATATGTCATTTGATTTCTTGACTGCTGCTTCCATGAGTGCTGATAGTGGATCCAAGCAAAAGGAAGTCTTGACAGCTTCAATCTTTTCTCCATTTATCATGACGTTATTTACTGGTTCAGTTGTGAGGATTTTTTGTTTTCTTTACATAGAGTTGAAAGCCATACTGAAGGCTGTGGTCTTTGATCTTCATGCATTTACAGATGCATAAAGTGAGACCCAATGAGAACAGGTTCATACAATGGATTTGTCTCCACTTCATCTAGGTAGGAAAGGGTAGAAGAGTTACCAGATTTGGGAGTGACTGGTGGACTGAGCACCTTAAGAGGCAGAGCATTATGGTTTAAGATGCAGCATTTTAAAAAGTGCTTTCCATGCACCAGACACAGTCTTAAACCCTTTATGTGTTGAGTCAATCCTGATTGGTGAGGAAAGTAACATAATCACTATGCATTTTATACCAGTATGTTGTGTGTCCTTGAATTGATTTAGACTCACAGCCACAGGTGAACAGAGTAGAGCTGCCCTATTAGATTTCCTTTATGGGAGCAGATCACCTAGTCTTTTCTCTTGCCAAGCAGCTGCTGTTGGGATTGAACCTCCGACCATTTGTTTAGCAGCCAGAGCTTATTCATTGTACCACCAGGGTTCCTTATCCCTTTCAGCTAGATGATAGAGGCACAGTTAAGTTAGTGACTTTTCCAATGTCATACAGTTGGTAGTGATAGTACCAGAATTCAAACTCTGGCAATCTGCTCCAAAGGATGTGCTTGCAACTACTACCATTCTCAGCCTTGAATAATGCCTGATACAAAGTTGCTCAATAACTGTTGATAGAGGGTGCAGAGAAGCAGCGAAAGCCAGTTCTGTTTTGGGAAAATCAAAACAGAAGAGAGGATGCAGCTGAACTGAAACAGACATGATAGATCAGAGCTATCTTAGCAAGATCTGGGCTAAGCCAGAGATCAGAAAAACAGAGCTAGTAAGGTGAGACATACAAAAGGGCTAGCCTAGCAGCAGGTTCAAGTCAGATGCCAGTACCGGCTCATCTTAAAGGGGCCTCATGCTCCCGTGAGGCCAGTAATTTGCTGAATTTCTTAAAAAGTACTGAAGTGCCATCAGAGATAAAAATAGGTTTGATTCCTTTTCCTCCTGTCCCTTTTCTTCTTCTCTGTCCCACTTCTACCTAATCTGCCATCTTACTATTTACTTATGGTTTGCTGCTGCTGCTTCTCATAGCAACACTGTATAGGGGCACTGAGGCGGCAAATCTTTACGGGAGCAAAAAGCCTCATCTTTCTTCCACAGAGTGACTGGTCGGTTCCAACAGCTGACCTGCGGTTAGTAGCCCAGCATGCAACCTACTATGCTACCAGGCCTCTTTAACTTCTGATAGAGTGGAACAGAAAATCATATTCATATGAGCAGATGCACATACACACAAAAGATAGTATTTCAATAAGACTACTTTTGGGTGGAAACACTTTGATCACTTTCATAGTTCTCACGGTGGACATAAACTAATGAACAAAAAAGTTACAGTGGGATTCAGTAAACCACAGTACTCTGCACAACTTCCATAAAGGGAGGGAAAACTGCAGCACTGGTATCATGTCCCTCTTCCATGTTTGAGGTTTAGGTAAACTGACCTGATCCCTTTATGTCACTAGATGATGTTAGTACAAACACTTGACATATCTTAATTTTCATGGAGCTAGAATCACTTTTGTAAACATGTTTGTTTCAAAATAACATATGTTTGTTAGTAGTTTAATTTTATTGTTGTTGTTGTTGTCATCAGGTGCCATTGAGTCAGAATCGACTCATAGCGACCCCATGTACAGCAGAATGAACAATGTCTGATCCTGGGCCAACCTCACTACCGCTGCCACACTTGACGCCATCAATGATGCCACCTGGCTGATCCATCTCCTTGGGGGTCTTCCTCTTTTTCTGTGACCCTCCATCTTACCCAACATGACATCCTTCTCTAGCGACTGTTCCCTCCTGACAATATATCCAAAGTATGAGAGACGAAGCTTAGCCATCTTAGCCTCCAAGGAGCACTCTGGCTGCACTTCTTCCAAAACAGATCTATTGGTTCTTTTGGCA